CTTTCTTTCGCCTTTTCCCGCCATAGTTTCATTCTGATACTTCTTTTGTTACGGCAGTCTTTCTGTTTTGTTGTTGTTCTTGCTTCTTTTCCGTTGTTCTTCATCTTTTATGATTTCTTCCCAAGATTTTTCTTCATTTCTCTTTCTTTCTATATTTTCTTCTTCTAAATATTTCATTCTTTATTTTTATCTAATATTTTTTTTCTTTCCATGTTTCTTTTTCCATCCATTTCTTGGCTTCTTGTTTATATTTGTTTTCCTTTTATTTCATTCTTTCTTTTTTTCATTCTTTGATACTTTATTCTTGTTTTTTTTTTGACTCTTTCTTACTTGCTTCGTTACCTTTGTCTTTGGTTTCTTTTTTCCATTGATTTTCTACATTTCTTGTTGGCTCTTCGCATACTTTCTGTTTCTTTTTTTGTCATATATATTAATTTCTTCTCTGTTTTTTTAATTTCTTCTACAGACTTGCTTTAAATCTTTCTTTTCTACACGTTCTTCCTTTCCTTTCTGCCTTTGATTTCTCTGTTTCATTATTTTGGTAATACTTTTTTTTTCTTCCTGGCTTGCAATCTGTAATGTTTACTTCTTTCAGCTTTCTTTCTTTGGAATATTGTTTTGGATCGTGGTTTATCTTCCCCTTTTACCTATCTTCATAGATTTCTTTCTACATTTCCTTTCTTTCTTTCTTTTTCTCTATTTTTTGTTTGTTTCTTTTTCTTTATTTGTTTGTTTGTTTCTTTCTTTTTTTTTCTCTATTTTTTGTTTCTTTATTTGTTTGTTCATATGTTTCTTTATTTTTCTATATTTTTTGTTTGTTTCTTTCTTTCTTTATTTGTTTCTTTCTTTCTTTTTCTCGATTTTTTGTTTCTTTCTTTAGGTGATTGTTTGTTTCTTTTTTTCTTTTTCTCTATTTTTTGTTTGTTTCTTTTTTCTTTATTTGTTTGTTTGTTTCTTTCTTTCTTTTTCTCTGTTTTTTGTTTCTCTCTTTGTTTGTTTGTTTGTTTCTTTCTTTCTTTTTCTCTATTTTTTTGTTTGTTTCTTTCTTTATTTGTTTGTTTCTTTCTTTCTTTTTCTCTTTTTTGTTTCTTTCTTTCTTTCTTTCTTTATTTGTTCGTTTGTTTCTGTCTTTCTTTTTCTCTATTTCTTTCTTTGTTAGTTTGTTTGTTTGTTTCTTTATTTATTTATTTGTTTGTTTGTTTCTTTCGTTTTCTCTATTTTTTCTTTCTTTCTTTCTTTGTTTCTTTCTTTTTTTTTCTCTATTTTTTGTTTCTTTGTTTGTTTGTTTGTATCTTTCTTTATTTTTTATTTCTTTATTTTTTATTTATTTGTTTGTTTCTTTGTTTCTTTCTTTATTTCTTTATTTGTTTCTTTTTTTCTTTATTTTTCTTTCTTTCTTTCTTTTTTCTTTCTTTATTTCTTTCTTTTTTCTTTCTTTATTTTTTTCTTTCTTTCTTTATTTGTTTGTTTCTTTATTTATTTATTCATTTATTTCGATCCTAGATTCTCTCATTCTTTTCTTTTAACTCAACTCATATCCATTTGTTTCTTTTCCTCTGCTTAGTCGAAAGCAATGTTTCAACCAAAAAAACATTTCATTAAACTTTTCTTTTATTTATTTATTTTTTGTTTTATTTAGCTCTTTTTAATTTAAGTTTGTTAATTACTTTTTCTACTTCACTTTTTTTACAGTCTTTTTTTGTGGGTTGATTTTGCGTATATATTTTCTATTCACTTTCTTCTAATTTTAGTCTCTGTTAAATTTCCATGTTCTTTTTTTTTTTCTAAATATTTCTTTTTTACCATACAGGCTCTTTTTTTCTTCTTGGCACATAGTTTTCTTCTCACCCTGGTCTACGCCAACTTGGCCGGAAGTTGAAGGGTGAGTAGTAAAAATTTGGGCCGACTTAAACAAAGATATTTCCACGCACACAGGCACAAACACAGACACGCACACAAAGGTTCTCGCTCATTCTCGTTTTCTATTTCTGTCTTGATCAATGTGTATGTATCTAATGGTTGCCTGAAGAAAACACTGTCTCTTGGCAACATGTCAGCATTAGAAAGTCTCCAAGAACTTAATTGCTTATCACTAATAAGATTTACCAACCAAGAAATTGCGTCGCTTTGAACCGCATTAATTAAGTACACAGCTACTTGATAGAAAAGAATTACGGTAGATAGTTTAGGCACACACACAAACACACACACAGATATATATATATATATATATATATATATATATATATATATATATACACATACACACACACACACACAGTGGGATGAAATAAATATTCATACACCAGGATTTTTTTTATTTGACATAGTTAATTACGGTAGATAGTTTAGGCACACACACAAATAAACACACACACACACACACATATACATATATATATATATATATATATATATATATATATATATATATACACACACACAGTGGGATGAAATAAATATTCCTACATCAGGTTTTTTTTTATTTGACATAGTTAAATTTTATAAACGGCTTTTATAATCGATACAATATTTGCCATGGCATAATGCTACAATATGTAAACAACATTCATAAAAATATATATTAATGAGGTTATAACAAATTAAACAAATTGGAGACGAAAAAATTATTCGTACAAAATTATAATACCTATTTAATACTGTGTAGCATATTCCTTACTCAATTCAATACCAATCAGTCTCTTTCTGTAGCTTTTAATCAATGATTTGTAAGTTTCCGTTGGTATTTATCTCTATTCTTCTTTTTATATACTTATTAGATTCAGGATGTTTTCAGAGCTCTTTTATTAACTTGAAATTTTAATAAACGCCACAAATTCTCTAGTAGATCCCAGTCTGGAGAATTTAATGTCCATTCTAGTGTACAATTGTTTTCAATTAGCCATTTTTTCGTAGATTAGCCGTAGCCGTCTTGTTGCAAAAACCCATTCATTTACTACTATTAGAGTTTAAAACATTTTGCTAATTTTTTAAATCCATTCTGCCATGTGTTTTCGCTAAATTACCCGTAACATTAGCAGAAAAACATCCCCAAACCATGATATTGCCACAATCAAATTTCAGTTTGGGATTGTGTTCTTCGGTGCAAAGGCTGTACCGTCTATTCTCTAAACGTGAGTCCTTGGATTACGACCAAATAATTCACATTTTACTTCACCTGTCCATAAAATACATTCCTAAATGATTCAGGTTTATTCTTACGCTCACGAACAAATTTTAACCGGGCATCCCTATTTTTCTCCAATAGTAGTGGAGTTTTTCTTGGAGAACACGATCTTAGTTGACTTCTATGAAGTTCATTGCTGATTGTTTGTTCCGTAACAATAGCTTATAATAGTTCATTGCTTATTGTTCGTTCCGTAACAATAGCTTATAATAGTTCATTGCTTATTGTTCGTTCTGTAACAATAGCTTATAATAGTTCATTGCTTATTGATCGTTCTGTAACAATAGCTTATAATAGTTCATTGCTTATTGTTCGTTCCGTAACAGTAGCTTATAATAGTTCATTGCTTATTGTTCGTTCTGTAACAATAGCTTATAATAGTTCATTGCTGATTGTTCGTTCCGTAACAATAGCTTATAATAGTTCATTGCTGATTGTTCGTTCCGTAACAATAGCTTATAATAGTTCATTGCTTATTGTTCGTTCCGTAACAATAGCTTATAATAGTTCATTGCTGATTGTTCGTTCGGTAACAATAGCTTATAATAGTTCATTGCTGATTGTTCGTTCCATAACAATAGCTTATAATAGTTCATTGCTGATTGTTCGTTCCGTAACAATAGCTTATAATAGTTCATTGCTTATTGTTCGTTCCGTAACAATAGCTTATAATAGTTCATTGCTGATTGTTCGTTCGGTAACAATAGCTTATAATAGTTCATTGCTGATTGTTCGTTCCATAACAATAGCTTATAATAGTTCATTGCTTATTGTTCGTTCCGTAACAATAGCTTATAATAGTTCATTGCTGATTGTTTGTTCCGTAACAATAGCATATAATAGTTCATTGCTTATTGTTCGTTCCGTAACAATAGCTTATAATAGTTCATTGCTTATTGTTCGTTCTGTAACAATAGCTTATAATAGTTCATTGCTTATTGTTCGTTCTGTAACAATAGCTTATAATAGTTCAATGCTTATTGTTCGTTCCGTAACAGTAGCTTATAATAGTTCATGGCTTATTGTTCGTTCTGTAACAATAGCTTATAATAGTTCATTGCTGATTGTTCGTTCCGTAACAATAGCTTATAATAGTTCATTGCTTATTGTTCGTTCCGTAACAATAGCTTATAATAGTTCATTGCTTATTGTTCGTTCTGTAACAATAGCTTATAATAGTTCATTGCTTATTGTTCGTTCCGTAACAGTAGCTTATAATAGTTCATTGCTTATTGTTAGTTCTGTAACAATAGCTTATAATAGTTCATTGCTGATTGTTCGTTCCGTAACAATAGCTTATAATAGTTCATTCCTTATTGTTCGTTCCGTAACAATAGCTTATAATAGTTCATTGCTTATTGTTCGTTCCGTAACAATAGCTTATAATAGTTCATTGCTTATTGTTGGTTCCGTAACAATAGCTTATAATAGTTCATTGCTTATTGTTCGTTCTGTAACAATAGCTTATAATAGTTCATTGCTGATTGTTCGTTCCGTAACAATAGCTTATAATAGTTCATTGCTGATTGTTCGTTCGGTAACAATAGCTTATAATAGTTCATTGCTGATTGTTCGTTCCATAACAATAGCTTATAATAGTTCATTGCTTATTGTTCGTTCCGTAACAATAGCTTATAATAGTTCATTGCTGATTGTTTGTTCCGTAACAATAGCATATAATAGTTCATAGCTGATTGTTCGTTCCGTAACAATAGCTTATAATAGTTCATTGCTTATTGTTCGTTCTGTAACAATAGCTTATAATAGTTCATTGCTTATTGTTCGTTCCGTAACAATAGCTTATAATAGTTCAATGCTTATTGTTCGTTCCGTAACAGTAGCTTATAATAGTTCATTGCTTATTGTTAGTTCTGTAACAATAGCTTATAATAGTTCATTGCTGATTGTTCGTTCCGTAACAATAGCTTATAATAGTTCATTCCTTATTGTTCGTTCCGTAACAATAGCTTATAATAGTTCATTGCTTATTGTTCGTTCCGTAACAATAGCTTATAATAGTTCATTGCTGATTGTTCGTTCCGTAACAATAGCTTATAATAGTTCATTGATTATTGTTCGTTCCGTAACAATAGCTTATAATAGTTCATTGCTGATTGTTCGTTCCGTAACAATAGCTTATAATAGTTCATTGCTGATTGTTCGTTCCATAACAATAGCTTATAATAGTTCATTGCTTATTGTTCGTTCCGTAACAATAGCTTATAATAGTTCATTGCTGATTGTTTGTTCCGTAACAATAGCATATAATAGTTCATAGCTGATTGTTCGTTCCGTAACAATAGCTTATAATAGTTCATTGCTTATTGTTCGTTCTGTAACAATAGCTTATAATAGTTCAATGCTTATTGTTCGTTCCGTAACAGTAGCTTATAATAGTTCATGGCTTATTGTTCGTTCTGTAACAATAGCTTATAATAGTTCATTGCTGATTGTTCGTTCCGTAACAATAGCTTATAATAGTTCATTGCTTATTGTTCGTTCCGTAACAATAGCTTATAATAGTTCATTGCTTATTGTTCGTTCTGTAACAATAGCTTATAATAGTTCATTGCTTATTGTTCGTTCCGTAACAGTAGCTTATAATAGTTCATTGCTTATTGTTGGTTCCGTAACAATAGCTTATAATAGTTCATTGCTGATTGTTCGTTCCGTAACAATAGCTTATAATAGTTCATTCCTTATTGTTTGTTCCGTAACAATAGCATATAATAGTTCATAGCTGATTGTTCGTTCCATAACAATAGCTTATAATAGTTCATTGCTTATTGTTCGTTCCGTAACAGGTAGCTTATAAATAGTTCATTGCTGATTGTTTGTTCCGTAACAATAGCTTATAATAGTTCATAGCTGATTGTTCGTTCCGTAACAATAGCTTATAATAGTTCATTGCTTATTGTTTGTTCTGTAACAATAGCTTATAATAGTTCATTGCTTATTGTTCGTTCCATAACAATAGCTTATAATAGTTCAATGCTTATTGTTCGTTCCGTAACAGTAGCTTATAATAGTTCATTGCTGATTGTTTGTTCTGTAACAATAGCTTATAATAGTTCATTGCTGATTGTTCGTTCCGTAACAATAGCTTATAATAGTTCATTGCTTATTGTTCGTTCTGTAACAATAGCTTATAATAGTTCATTGCTTATTGTTCGTTCTGTAACAATAGCTTATAATAGTTCATTGCTTATTGTTCGTTCCGTAACAGTAGCTTATAATAGTTCATTGCTTATTGTTAGTTCTGTAACAATAGCTTATAATAGTTCATTGCTGATTGTTCGTTCCGTAACAATAGCTTATAATAGTTCATTCCTTATTGTTCGTTCCGTAACAATAGCTTATAATAGTTCATTGCTTATTGTTCGTTCCGTAACAATAGCTTATAATAGTTCATTGCTTACTGTTGGTTCCGTAACAATAGCTTATAATAGTTCATTGCTTATTGTTCGTTCTGTAACAATAGCTTATAATAGTTCATTGCTGATTGTTCGTTCCGTAACAATAGCTTATAATAGTTTATTGCTTATTGTTCGTTCTGTAACAATAGCTTATAATAGTTCATTGCTGATTGTTCGTTCCGTAACAATAGCTTATAATAGTTCATTGCTTATTGTTCGTTCCGTAACAATAGCTTATAATAGTTGATTGCTTATTGTTCGTTCCGTAACAATAGCTTATAATAGTTCATTGCTGATTGTTCGTTCCATAACAATAGCTTATAATAGTTCATTGCTTATTGTTCGTTCTGTAACAATAGCTTATATTCATTGCTGATTTTTTTGTTCCGTCAATTTATAATAGTTCATTGCTGATTGTTCGTTCCGTAAAAATAGCTTATAATAGTTCATTGCTTATTGTTCGTTCCGTAACAATAGCTTATAATAGTTCATTGCTGATTGTTCGTTCGGTAACAATAGCTTATAATAGTTCATTGCTGATTGTTCGTTCCATAAAAATAGCTTATAATAGTTCATTGCTTATTGTTCGTTCCGTAACAATAGCTTATAATAGTTCATTGCTGATTTTTTGTTCCGTAACAATAGCTTATAATAGTTCATTGCTGATTGTTCGTTCCGTAACAATAGCTTATAATAGTTCATTGCTTATTGTTCGTTCCGTAACAATAGCTTATAATAGTTCATTGCTGATTGTTCGTTCGGTAACAATAGCTTATAATAGTTCATTGCTGATTGTTCGTTCCATAAAATAGCTTATAATAGTTCATTGCTGATTGTTCGTTCCGTAACAATAGCTTATAATAGTTCATTGCTTATTGTTTGTTCCGTAACAATAGCTTATAATAGTTCATTGCTGATTGTTCGTTCGGTAACAATAGCTTATAATAGTTCATTGCTTATTGTTCGTTCCGTAACAATAGCTTATAATAGTTCATTGCTTATTGTTCGTTCTGTAACAATAGCTTATAATAGTTCATTGCTTATTATTCGTTCCGTAACAGTAGCTTATAATAGTTCATTGCTTATTGTTCGTTCAGTAACAATAGCTTATAATAGTTCATTGCTGATTGTTCGTTCCGTAACAATAGCTTATAATAGTTCATTGCTTATTGTTCGTTCCGTAACAATAGCTTATAATAGTTCATTGCTTATAGTTCGTTCCGTAACAATAGCTTATAATAGTTCATTGCTTATTGTTCGTTCCATAACAATAGCTTATAATAGTTCATTGCTTATTGTTCGTTCTGTAACAATAGCTTATAATAGTTCATTGCTGTTTGTTCGTTCCGTAACAATAGCTTATAATAGTTCATTGCTTATTGTTCGTTCTGTAACAATAGCTTATAATAGTTCATTGCTGATTGTTCGTTCCGTAACAATAGCTTATAATAGTTCATTGCTCATTGTTCGTTCCGTAAAATTAGCTTATAATAGTTCATAGCTTATTGTTCGTTCTGTAACAATAGCTTATAATAGTTCATTGCTTATTGTTCGTTCTGTAACAATAGCTTATAATAGTACATTGCTGATTGTTCGTTCCGTAACAATAGCTTATAATAGTTCATTGCTTATTGTTCGTTCCGTAACAATAGCTTATAATAGTTCATTGCTTATTGTTCGTTCCGTAACAATAGCTTATAATAGTTCATTGCTGATTGTTCGTTCCATAACAATAGCTTATAATAGTTCATTGCTTATTGTTCGTTCCGTAACAATAGCTTATAATAGTTCATTGCTGATTGTTCGTTCCATAACAATAGCTTATAATAGTTCATTGCTGATTGTTTGTTCCGTAACAATAGCTTATAATAGTTCATTGCTTATTGTTCGTTCCGTAACAATAGCTTATAATAGTTCATTGCTTATTGGTCGTTCCGTAACAATAGCTTATAATAGTTCATTGCTTATTGTTCGTTCTGTAACAATAGCTTATAATAGTTCATTGCTTATTGTTCGTTCTGTAACAATAGCTTATAATAGTTCATTGCTTATTGTTCGTTCTGTAACAATAGCTTATAATAGTTCATTGCTTATTGTTCGTTCCGTAACAATAGCTTATAATAGTTCATTGCTGATTGTTCGTCCCATAACAATAGCTTATAATAGTTCATTGCTGATTGTTTGTTCCGTAACAATAGCTTATAATAGTTCATTGCTTATTGTTCGTTCCGTAACAATAGCTTATAATAGTTCATTGCTTATTGTTCGTTCCGTAACAATATCATCTGATGCTTTTAATTCTTCCTGTATTTTTCTCCTAGTAGTCATTGTGTTTTCTTGAATTTTGCGCTGAATTCTTCTCACTGATGTGGGAGAAATCTCGCGTGATGTACCAAATCACGATTAGTTTTCAACAGTTTTCCCCTTTTTATACTAAGCAATAACGGAAGCAATAGTATTATATTTTATATGCAGTTTACCTGCTATATTCCTATAACTTTTACCTTCCTTTCAATGTGTAATGATCAATTTCTTTTTGCGAATTTCATAGTTCGTTGCCTTTCGCCGTGATGATAAATATTATGTATGATTTGTGGGCAGCGATAACCTTATATCAGAAATAAATTGCGTAATGTTCTAGATTGTTCAGGTAATAAAACAATTTGAAGAACCTTGCAAAATATGACAAAGAATTATGTAAATAATGGTAATTTAAGCCTTTTGATATTAAAGACATATTTTATAGGAATTCTTTATTTCGCCTCGAAATATTATAAATAACACATATAACAAGGTTTTCTAATTGTTATTTGCATATTGCAGCATTATGCAATGGTGCCGAAATATGTGGAGGCATGGTGGAGTAATGGATACCGGCTCGGATTGAGCAATCAAAGAGTCGAGTTCGAATTCCAGTCAGATCCATTACATTCACTTTCATGTAATACACTTGGGAAAGGTATGAATAATCTTTTTCTCATCCCAGATATGAGTAAATAGCAGGACATATATCCTTGGATTGCCACTTGTCTACCGCAGAATGAAATGTAAAAAAAATCTGTCTCGTTAATCATGTATCGAAAGGTAAATGATCGCCGACGCGAGGATCATGCATGACACATAACTGACTGTAGAAATATTTTTTTTTGAATTTTAAGTTTTTCAGAAGTTATAATTATATTAATTTAAAAATCCAAATTAATTACTTCCTACCTCCCAAGTAAATATTGTATTAACTCCACAAATGAATTTATGCAAATTCTTCATGCTGTAAAACCAAGCAATAGCATTTTTAGATTAACAAAATTTATTTACTAATATCCCCGTCCGTGAAACGAGTGACATCATTATCCGTGATGTACACAATTACAATTCTCTCTCACCCATCAATATCAAACCTACTATTTAAAAAAAAATATTATTATTATGTATCACTCAGGTAACTTTTCATGACCCAGTAGGTACTATTTATACTCAAATAGACTGTATTGCGATGGGATCTCCTTTAGGCCCCTTTTTTCTAATTATTAATATGGCACATTTAGAAAATAAAATACTTAATGACACTAATAAACCCCCTATATATATAAGATATATAGATGACATTTTCGTTTTAGCTAAAATATTGATCAAATTACACAAGTTCAAAACAAATTTGAAAGTCAATCCGTTCTAAAATTTACATTAACAATTAATAATAAAACTTAATAGAATTTAATAATAAAATTACATTAAAACTTAATAATAAAATTCCATTTCTTTGATGTACTTATTGATTCCAGCACACATAAATTTACTATTTCTCTATATAGAAAACCCACTAACATTAATTCGTATTTTCTTTATTATAACAGTGGATGCT